ATGTGAATAGTCTGATGGTAGGTGTCTGCCAGACAGTAGAAGGTGTCTGCCGGACAGTAGAAGCCACACTGTCAAAATTTCTTGCGAAATTTTCTAGTTACATAACTGGGATGTAAGTAGCAAAATATAACCATGTTTCAGGGTCTTCAGTTCAGATAGCCTAAATATTTTTTTAGACATTCTTCTTTAAAGGACCACAGATACTTAAAGAAGAGACAGAGAGACAGTAAGAAGAAGTGAGACGTTACAGTTTTGACCCAGAAAAGTGGGTCTAAGAATAGTCCACTGGAGAGTCGGACACAGCAGCCTCCTTATGAGAAGCTGCAGCTCTCAACGGTGACTGCTCATAGCTGACTGTTTCATAACAACACAAACACTACTAAGAGATAGACTTAACTTATTTATGTGTTAGGTCAAAAGATGCCAAAGTTAACAGAACTAAAACTGGAGTGCAAAGGTGCTAAAACATCGACTCAAGAGAGATATTGTGATGTTGCTGAAATGTACGGAATACGGAAAATTGTGACGGCATCTCTCAATTTTTTCACAATTTTCCCAAACCAAACAATCAGTCGATTATTGGGAGAAAATAATCATCAGACTAATAAATTATAAAAAAATATACTTCTGCAAATTCACCTGATTATACTTTTACTACATGCTGTAAGATTTGTAAGTATGTTTACAGTGTAGTATGTGTTCTTTTACTTAAGTAAAGGATCTTAATACATCTACTTCCACCACCTCTTGTAAATCAAACCTGGTGGCACCTCCAGCAGAGCAGACAACAGCTGGACAACAGTTGCAGCAACATTACAACACACAATCCACAGATGGAGAGCAGCACCTTGAAGGCCAGCGAGCTAACGGCACCCTGCAGAAACACCAGCTGACCCAACACAGCTTCACAAGGCTGTTTCCTGACCCACTTACATGTGTTGTGTGGGTGTGGGTGAGAGAGAGGGAGGAAAAGGGAGAAGGGTTTTAATGATTGTATCTATAATTGGTTATTTCTGAGCTCATGTCTCCAGCCAGACACACACACACACACACACACACACACACACACACACACACACACACTTGCTCGCTAGCGTTCTCTCTCAAGCTGTCTCCCTGAGCAACCTGTCTCTCATTGGTTATCAGAGCAGAGAGAAAAATGGAACCCTCAGGCCACACGATGTGATTGGTTGCCAAATATCACTCTCAGCCAATCAGAGGGAGGCAGAGCCGGGGCTTATTGATTAGAATGGAAATGTTTCAGGATCACAACTTCATGAGTAATAAGGCAGGTAAATGATGAAGGATGATGTATTATTGACTATAGTGTATAATATAGGAACATATGACGTCATGTTAACACTTGACCAGTTATCCATTGACTTAAAAATTAAGAAAATACCCAGAATTCCTCTCAGCCATAGAAAAGATGTTTTAAGAGTAATAGGTGGGATTTAAAAAGAAACGTTCTGAGCATGAACAGTGACACCAGGGCTGAGCTAAAGACTTTAAATGGATATAAAGGGATCTTTGTCCACATTCAGTCATGGTGAACTGACCTGTAACCAAAACATGTGACATATGCCTAGATTCAGTTTTATCCCCCCCAGTGTACACATAAAAAAGCCTTTTCTCTTTAAAGGGTAATAGTATTCTATTTTTTTTCTTTAAGTATCGTCACCAAATGCTTTGAAAACATCAAAACAAGCAACGTGTTAGTTCATCTCCATCCATCAGCTGTGGCACTTCTCCTCAAGCCCTATTCGTTCTTACTGAAGGTGTAAATCTTTGAAGAAAATGCTATCTGTGATGACTTAAAGTAAACTACAGTGAGTGTTCATGATAATGAAGGAACATGTCACCTAGTGCAACGGTGTGCCTCTTTTTTTTTGGACAACATTGGGGATATTATGTATTTTTCTTACTGTCAACAAATCTCATGAACACCACAACCATCAGATTTGCGTCTTAGAATAAACAAGGGAACTTGTTCCTTTCATGAAAAACATTCCTTTGACCATATGCAGGCTTTCCTTCAGATGCATCACAGGCAGGAAATACCAGTTGTCCTTAATCCTCTTCCTCCTCGAGAGGGGGGGGGGGGGCTTTTGCTGATTCTTAGCACTGACAGCAGCCACACAGTCAGCATTAAACAAAAAATACAGCCACAAAGACCCACTGAACTGTGCAGTGTGATCGCAGATGATTTCACGTGATTTAGCACAAAACAGCATTAGCCCCGAGGCACTTTGGAGGACAACGTGATGGGAAGAAATATGAGATGCAGAAAACGTATATGAAAGCACTCAGTGTGAAGGGCATTGCATCAGGATATACATTAGCTCTGTCTCATGGGACTTTCCCAGACCTCATACCTTCACTCAGAATGAAGAGGTGCCCCATATTAAAGATGAGGCAGAGACTACAGAGTGTTAACACAGATCTATAGTTATAGTTTACTGTAGGGCTTTGATACAGACTCCAATATTTTTGCCAATTTGAGGGATTTTGGACCTTTCGTTTGAGTCTCTGCTGTAGTGTGCATTTATTACATAAAATAAACAAAATAGGCTTTTCTTTTGCACATGTGAAGAGTTTTGTCTGATGTAATGCATAAAAGTAGAACAAGATTTATTGCATCTGATATCAACAGATTTTGCTTACATTAGCCATATTCTGATAAACTGTGCATCCATGTCAAAATGAAAATAAAATAAAATTTTATACTGATCTCCCCCATTTTGCCCAGCCAGACATGGAATAAATCCACCGCAGAGAAGACAAACAAATCAACGTTTCAATAAACCAGAATGTAATGCAGCCACAATGCATGCTGTGTTTTAAGATACGAGTTTAAAGTCTGGGTAAAGATTAAAAAAAAAGACTTTCAAAATGCTATCTGACCTAATTGATAACATATGTGATAGTGAAACAAGTAATTGGGCTGTGGTAAGTTAGTGTTGTAACATGGCGATTGAGCAGCAGAACCACTGATGATACATGTATGTGCTGTAGTTGTTATATTAGGGGAGGTGTTATATTAAGGATGGCTCCAGTGCGTCATCGAGCTATGATTTCAGCCCAGCCCATAATATCATGAACACAAAAATGGTGAAAGTTTAACGGTCTAACTCCACAGTTGAGTACTATATAGTTCACTGTCATTTCAAGATTAATAAAATTATTTTTCTATAATGTACAATGTGTTTCGAAACAAATCTCAGATTTTACATTACCGGGACTTTAAAACTGTAACTAAACTAGAAAATCTCTGTTATTACACTACCACCTACACAGGCTGTATATTACCCATCACGCCTCTGCTTTGGGAGTTGTTAAAGGCATTCTGGTAGGTTTGAGGGAAAATAGAAACATATGCACAGAACATCACCAAATTGATAACAGAAAGAGAGGATACTAGCAGGGATACAACCTCAACCTGCCCTTCCATTGTTCCCACTGAAACTATCTTTTTCCTCCTCTCATTTCCTCACAATAGGGCCTCTGCAGCTCAATAAACTGATCCAGGCTGCAGCTACAGTATTGTGGACTGTCGTCACTAAGTCATTCTGCATGGCTGACTTATTGACTGGATGTGGCCAATGAATCAGAGCAAGTAATTACTGCAGCTCCGACTCAGTCTTTGATTGCTGCACGTCGGGCAAAGAGAGAATTGACATTTTAAGCTACATTGGTCACCAGTTCCCGTCTGGACGTATGAGACATCCGACCAGATAGTGGGGAAAGAGAAGCACATACAAAAACACTGCCAGTCATTGGAACCACTGGTGCTGGATTCAGTTGCATCATCCGTTTGTCATCATATCGAGTTAAAGTGGAGATTTAGCATCAATAAATGAAACCAGGCTGCACCTCACAAACTAGTTTTAACGTAGAGATTAGTTGTTCTTAAATAGTTTGCACCCAATAACTGCCAGGGGCCACAAAGCAAGTTTGGCTCTCTTTGGATTATGTATACAGATAGCAAAAAGTGATATTCAACCAGGTGAAATGTAAACAATATAATCACATAATTGGGAAAATGATATGGGAAATGTAGGAAATTAGTTTTTGAAGGGCTGGATCCATACTAAGGAACAAAGGTTGGGATATCACAGCCTCTGCTGCATATATTTTGACCATTGTGTTGTTTTCATCTGTCTCCAACAAGTCTCCAAGCTTTGTGGAAGTACATTACTCAATAGCTGGAGGGCCCCTTTAATGTAGAGTTTATTTTCCACTAATACCTGATGTGTTTCACACACACACACTGAGATGTAATTGGATATGCAGCTCTTTGTGTTGTAATGTCCCTTAATAACAGCTCATCAGATTATCACACTTGATAATCCCAAGGACCACATGTCCTTAATCTGACTTCCTGGTAAGTGTGCATGTGTGTGTGTGTGTGTAAAAGAGAGAAAGAGAGGGAGAAAGATGAAACCATGAGTGGATTCCATTTAAAAACTGAGCAGAGCATTATGGGTCTTGTTGGTTGTTTTACCTTATTCGGTGTTTTCATGACACGTGTATCTCTGCATGTTTATCTTTTGTCTATGATTGTCAAGAATGAATGTATGAAGCTACTGACTCACAGGGTCGAGCTCTCACCTTGTACTTGGCGGTCAGTTGCTCAGTGGCTTCTTGCTCCTTCCTCAGAACTCCCATCATCTTCTCCTTCTCTCCCAGGAGCCTCTGCTTCTCCTCAGCCAACATGAATTGATCTTCTCTGATGTCCTGTTTTTCCCTCTCCAACCGCTGCTCCTCCAGCTTCACGTACTCCTCCGCGTCCTTCTCCACCCCTTCCTCCTCGTCCTCCTCACCTTCCGTCTCTTCATCCCCGTCTCTCTCCCAGCCCTCGCCGTCCACCTGCTCCTTCTTCTGTTTGGTCCTCCACTTCCTGTGGTTGAGCTGGGCCCTGAGGCGAGCGATCTCCATCTGGAACTCGCGCAGTAGAGCATCCTTGGGATCTTCGTTGACTCTTGGCTGGTTCTGGATGTTCTTGGCCCGGTTGGCGTAGCGGAGGGTGGTGAGGGTCTCGTCGTAGTGCTGGGGGGCCGGGCCTAAGGTGGCGACCATGACGGTCTTTGCATTCCCGCCCAAAGAGTCCTGCAACAGCCGAGTCAGTTTAGAGTCCCGGTACGGCACGTGGCCGCTGCGCCCGTCGGCCAATGCTGAGATCACGTTCCCCAGGGCTGACAAGGACAGGTTGATCTTGGCGGCCTCTTTCAGGCGCTCTCCCTGGACGCCTGTCTTGGCCTGGCGCTCGCTGCCAGCCAGATCCACCAGGTTGAGGCGTCCGACCCGGATGTGTTTCCTCCCGTCAGGTCCGGGCTGGCTGCACTCCACTGTGATCAGGAACAGGGCGTGGGACCGAGACGAGTGCTCGTTCATGTCTGTGGCCGCGACAGCCCTCGCCTGGTTGCCCACGTTCATCACCTCCTCGATCTCCTTGATGCTCTTGCAGACACACGATGTGAGGTCGCGCACATACACCCCGGACTCTGGACTCTCCCGGAGCTCCAGGGCTCTGGCGTTGCCGTGGTTGGGATCGAGGAGATCCAGAACCTCCTCCAGGTAGATCTCGAGGTAGGACGCCCGCACCAGGTACTGCTTATCGGACTGCGAGCGGGATATGTGCGTGAAGATGTGGTCGAAAGCGTTGGGGATCACACCCCGTTTCTCTGGGTCCATCCACGCCCCCTGCATGGTGTACGTCTTCCCAGTTCCTGTTTGTCCGTACGCAAATATGGTACCATTGAACCCTGCGAGCACCGAATCTATCAGTGGCCGCACGCTCTCGTCGTACAGGTCTCCCTGTTTGGAGTTTGCATCATAAACTGCATCGAAGGTGAATGTTTTTTGAGGCTCGCTGGCTGGTGCTCGAGGGTTTCGGAGGATCACCTGTCCGAGCCGCAGGTCCATCTGCACGATGCACCCCGCGGGCCCATTGGACTCCTCCTTCCGGTTCAAAGGACGGCATCTAACTACCACCTTCACTGACTCACTGCTCTTATTTTTTGACATGACTGGCTTCTGTTTTTTGTTGTTGTATGCAACAAAAGGACAATCTATATCAGCTAACTCAAAACAGGCTGGCAATGATGCCTTTAATCAGACCTCTTGTCTGCCTGTGAATTGTGAAACCATTGATTTTTTGAAAATCATTAATGACAAATTCAGTATGGTTCTGGATCATATCATGAATAAAATAGCTACAGTGCCAAATAACACAGACTCCTTTAACCTCCAACACAATTCATGGCACATGCCACTAGTCTAATGGCTAATTCCCTTTCCTTATTGTCTGTAATATTAGCTCACAGATACACAGACGGTCATCAGCTTTCACGCGTTGGATCGACGCTCCATTGCAGATCCACGTCCAGATTCACTCGGTGGAAAAAAAAAATTCAGCAATGCCGACTATAACACCATATTCAGATATCCCACTCATATGGTCCTGGTAGATCCGCTACACGCCGCCGTCCCGCATCCTCCTGCCCGCCGCTCACTGATGCTCCGAGTTGTGCTTGTGGCTCTCGGTCTGTGCGGAGAAACGGAGCTTCCCGACTACGCAACACACACACACACAGACACATACACACACACACACACACACGGTCATTCAAATACCACACCCCACATCACTGCGGAGTGGAACAAAGGATCATGGGAAATGAAGTGTAGTTAGATAAAACATATTTTTTTTCGTATGGGTGTCTTGAAAAAAATGCAAATGTTCCCTTTGAATACATATTAATTAAGTATCTCTGGAAACTTTGGGAAAATGCTATAGTTTAAACAATATGTTACGGTCTCTATATACTATATGTTGTCTCTGTATAATTTCCAGAATCATTTTACATTACATTACATTACAGTCATTTAGCAGACGCTTTTACCCAAAGCGACTTACAATTCAGATTCTATCATATATCACATATCCTTCTCATAATTAAAAGAGACAAACTATTAGTTTAATTGTAATGGTCTTCATAATGCATCATAAGCTACTGTTAGCCCATGATATTTACAATAACCAGGTGATATAATGAAACAAAACTGCATTTCAGTAAAAATTCTAATTCAGATGAACTGCAGAGAGAAAAGACACTCTGATGATACAGACAAATCTGGAGCTCCTTCATGAATATCATTCTGACAGCCCTTTGTTTTTACTGGATATGGGCAAACTCTTGGTCTGCAATCAAATAAAAGTAATTTTCATTTAATATCTAAAAATCTCTCCAAAACCTATCTCAGGGAGATAGTTTTGAGATTATAATAATTTAGCTAGAACACAAATAAAACTACATCAGTTCTAATATAGGGTGGATTTTCTGTTTAATAGCAAGATATTATATTGAAATATTATTCTTTCCACCTTTTTCTTTTGTTTGTTTTCTTAAAATTTTCTATTTGGGTTTTAATCCTGTATTGGATCTGAATTTGCCTTCAACTGAGTATTGCCTGTTCTTTTAAGTGTTGTAGCTCAAGGTAAGGAAGGAATCAAAAACAACACCAATATAATCAACGAATAGTTCATTTTCAAATAACAATGAATCGGTTTGCACTATAAAAGACTAACCTCACACATCCGTTTCATCACATGTTTGATCTGACAATATGTCAAAGATTCAATGTCAGACACAAAAAGGTGACTTATTCTTTTCAGGTAAGTTTAGATCCCTGTTTGTTATTGTATGAGCCCATTAATCAGCATTACAATATACATCTCCAAACTGCTGTAACTTTACCCCTGATTCCTAGTTGGACCCAGTGAATTGTATTTAAAACGTGTTTTTAAGAGCATGGCTCCAAACGCCATATCTTCCACTGAATGTCCGCCCTGTTGTCCTGAAAAACATATAACATCTTGACTTAACTTTTCAAATGTTGATTTCCAAGAAACTTTAAGTATAAATCTAGTAAGAAATTGAAACTGCAAGTGGCTCTTTTATCACCAGTCCGATTTTGGAACTTGTTTCCCAATAGTTCTCATACAACTGGGCTCCCAAAGCGGCACAAATTGAGGACAAGGGGACCAAATACAAAATGAATCATTACAAGGCTTTTTTAACAGTTTATTCATAACACAATAGCACCACCTGGTGAAATAAGTTTGGAATACACTATGACCTGCAGGCAGTCGAAGTCACTGAAGGAGGCCATGGGTACATCCCAAGTCTCTTAATTGTCATTTCCTCGCTCCTCGATCCTCGCTTGAACCGGAAGTTGTTCTGCGCCGCCATATTGACGGCCGTCCCAAAGCTCTTATTTAGCTCTGAGGAGAGAGGATCGAGGAGAGAGGAGGGATCTCCGAGGAGCCATGAGCGAGGACCCACGAGAACAGACTTCCAGGAAGTGTTTTAACGGCCGACACGCCCCCTCATTGTTCATCAGTC